ACACACACACACACACAGACCATATAAGCCCAACCACACAGAGTGTTGACATTACTTTGTCAGAGTACTAGATACTAGTAATTAGGGCTGAATGATTCAGAGAAAAACATCTGATCGCTATTTTTCTGATAAAAATTGTGATTGTGATTTAAAATGCAAAAAATAAAAATTTAAAATAAATAAATAAAAGGTCCAGGTTTGCTGCGGTTGTTTGTAGTAATAATCATAATAATAATAATAATAATTATAATAAAAATAGATCATTATAATAATAAAAACAATTCTTATTATTATAAACCAGTTTCCTGTGATACTGATTATGACATTATAAGTGGAAAAACCATTCACATACCTGGACGGCAACGTCCATTCTTTAGCGGCGAGTTAATGGAGCATGCTGGGATTACAGGAAATGGCCACAGAAAGTCTTTATGCAGGCATTTGAGGGCGGTAACAAAGTCGTCGACCCGGGCCACCCGCATGCGCTCCCGACACAGCCAGCCAATCAGCTCGAAGCCCAGCTGGGCGGAGAAACAGCCCAGATCCCGCAGTCTGACCTATAATAATAATAATTATAATAAAAATAGATCATTATAATAATAAAAACAATTCTTATTATTATAATGTTATTATATGAAGTATTTTTAAATTACTATTATTATTTTTAATAATAAAATAAAAATACTTTAATAATGAAAACATAAATAATAAAGATCATTATAATACTATAAACAATAATACTATTGATATTATTATATTTATGATTAAAATCAAAATAAGTATTACTATGTATTTTTACAAAATGTTCAGTGTTAAATAAAGAATATGAAAAAATATAAAGTAATAAAATAATAATAATAATTTTTAAAAATGTTTAATTTTATTTTACAGCCCAATGGTAAAATTCCAGTACTAATATTTATGGCAAATAATAGTACAACCTTGCTAGGCTCCTATGAATACAGTCAAGGTCCTCTCATTTCTATATCAGAGCTGAAAACAGTGTTGACCAGCAGCATTTAATTCTATATTATGATTAAAGACAAGAATTATAGAATCTTTTTTTCTGAACCGGTTCAACTGAATGAACCGACTGACTCGAGCCTCCCAACACTGTTTGAGAGAGAGTGTTACTAGCTATGTTTCCATCACCCTGTTTTTATGCGCATTTTGAAGTATCGCATCAGAAACGAGTGACGGAAATGGCAAATTTCGAATTAAAATCCCTTAATTCGCAAAAAAGTTTTTACGCTTGCTTGAGGTGGTTTTTGACTTGTGCGAAAAAGGGTTAATGCGAATAAAAGGAGATGGAAACGTATTTGCCGAGTAAATTCCTCCATGCGCATCAAAAAAGACATGTGACTGCGCTATGGGACGGCAAAACCTAACCAGTGGACCGATCTCGTTCCTCAGCATCTGAAATGTTGTGGTCATTCTGAAATGTCCGAGCAAAGTCTGTCATCAACGTATTTCTGTAGAATTGCCTCCCAGAACTGTTACACGACTGCGTTCCCAAACAGCAGCATCCGCCTCAAAGCAATGACCACATTTATTTTGTTTCGTCTGCTCGCTCTGAGGCGCAAGTCATTTATTATATAGGCCTATGAAAATTATTATATTCAGGGGTTTCTCCTACTTTTCATAGTGATATATAGTCTAGCGCCAGTTCTACCAGGAAGTGACGATTTTGTTCTCTTTGACTCGTTGGATGGGAACGGTGCTTATTCGCAAATGTTTTATGTGATATTTCAATTTTGCGCATAAGTTAAATTCGCAACTTTGGATGGAAACCCCGGCTAGTGTTTGGTAAAGATGTGCGTTACCCTTTGGAGGACGGGCCGGATGGCACGCTCAGGGTCTTCTGCAGGTTGAACTTCCCGCCGGCGATGCTGTCGGCCGACTGAGACAGACTGATGCTGCGGTTCCGGAAGAACTCGAAGCCGCCCGTGGAGCTCTGCTCCTGCAAACACAAGCTGTCACCACAGGAGCTTCCACACGCAGCATCTCAGAGTCCATCATCATCATCATCATCATCATCTCACCTGTGTGGTGGGTGTGCTGGGCGGAGTCTCGCTCTCCCCTGAACCAATGGCCTTGAGGAAGCGGATCATGTGACGACACAGATCCCATTTGCCCTGTTCCAGAGCCGTGTTGAAGAGTAGAGTGGCGTGTTGACGGCTGACCGCCGGGACCTCCATATTCTGAGAGGAGAACACACAAAAGGAATAAAAATAATAGAAATAAATAAAATGATTTAATAAGATACCCCCCTCTCCCCCCTAGATTGATGTCTTCCCTTATCATACATCACGCAAACAGAGATACATGACTGTTCCACTAGTTCATTCAGAAAAGAAAAGAGACATTTGCAAATGCCATTTTAAACTAAATAAATAAACAATACTAAAAATAAATAAAAACAAACCAAGATCAACACAAAACCAAGTAAGAGAACAAAACATAAGTATTATCTTGTCTTAATTTTAACTGCTAAAACTGGTTCTCCTTCACAGAAATACTTTAAATAATATAATGAGCAAAATAATAAATAATAACAGATAATAATTAATTAATTATATAGTTAAATATTAAATAATAGTAGGTTAAAAAGGTTTGTTGCTTGATTTTAGAATTACATGTAATGCAGATTTAAAGCTCATCTTTTATTCAATGCATTGCTCAAATATTGAAAACAATAAATGTTCTTTATGGTTTCAGTATTCAGTTTTCCCCACCAGGAGTTCAAATTCAAGTCATTTAAGCTTAACAGGTAACTTTAAACATTTATTTTGGATTGCACTATATTCAGTGTTTTTTACAAGTCAGATATCAAGTAATTTCAGCTTAAACATAGTATTTTTGACAGCTCATATTCATTCACAAAAATTCATACAAATTTGTAAGAACTTACACCTTTTATTTTTCAATAATTCATTACATTTTTCAGGATTTTGCTTTAAAAACAGCAACATTATTTTAATTTATTTGCTGCACCACAAAATCATTTAAAGTACCAGAGATGGAAAAGAGAAGAATATAAATGGTAAAATAAAAATAAATATAAAACTTGATTTCAAGATGTTATGCATTTAAAAAAAAAGTTAATATTATATTTATTGAAAAATATGCATATTTAACATACTAATATTTAAATAGGTTGACCTTCCAACGATGCTTTTGTTTTTTACAAGTCAGATATAAAACAATTTAATCATTTTTGAGAGCTGAAATCTGTTCATAAAAATTCATAAAAATTTGTAAGAACTCATACTTTTTTTTTTCAAGAATTCATACAAATTTGTAGGATTTTACTTAAAAATAAGCAAACATTACTTTAATTGTTTTGTTACACCACAGAATCACAAAGTGGGTTAAAGTACTGAAAATGGAAAAGAGAAAAACTTCAGATGGTGATTCAGCATAAGTGAAAACCAGTGTTTTTTTAGTATATATGTGACCCTTTTGTGCAAAAAGCAGTCTTAAGTCGCTGGGGTATATTTGTAGCAATAGCCGAAAAAACACTGTATGGGTCAAAATTATAGATTTTTCTTTTATGCCAAAAATCATTAGGAAATTAAGTAAAGATCATGTTCCATGAAGATATTTTGTAAATGTCCTACCGTAAATATATCAAAACTTAATTTTTGATTAGTAATATGCATTGCTAAGAACTTCATTTGAACAACTTTAAAGATGATTTTCTCAATATTTAGATTTTTTTGCACCCTCAGATTCCAGATTTTCAAATAGTTGTATCTCGGCCAAATATTGTCCTATCCTAACAAACCATACATCAATGTAAAGCTTATTTATTCAGCTTTCAGATGATGTATACATCTCAATTTTGCAAAATGTACCCTTATGACTGGTTTTGTGGTCCAGGTCACATATGTTAAGCATATTGTTTCTAATCATGAGGTTTTGGCCTCACCTGCAGGATGATCAGGTAGGATGCAGCTGTGTCCAAATCCTGTGCCATCAGACACTCCTCGAACAGGTCTTTGGGGTTCCCCACGGCGGCGAACAGGTAGTTCCACAGCGCGTATTCGGTCTTGCGCGCGCAGTGGACGATGGTCTGCAGGAAGAGCGGGAACTCGGTCACGAACTTGGCGACGGTGGGCAGCAGCGGGTCGGGGATGGGCTCTCGGGACGTGGCCTCCTCCTCCAGCACCACATGCACCATCAGCTCCAGAACGTGAGGGAAGTACGGCAGCATCGCGCAAGACTGCGCCAGCATCAGCGCCTGCTCGCCCAGGTTACGCACCAGCAGCTGTCTCAGGATGTGATGGAGGTAGATCTGGGACGTCCGCTCCACCGTGCAGAAGGGGAAGAGCGCCTCCAGCGAGGACGAGCCGGGCCCGTCGAACAGCACGGTCTCGTTGGAGGCGCCCAGGATGAGCGCGTCCTCGAACAGCACGGTGAGCGGGTAGATGTTGATGTGGAAGGGCAGCATGATCCGGCGCGACAGGAACGAGTGCGGCTTGCGGTGGTCTCGCGGGAACAGAGGAAGCCACACCTTCATGCCCGCCTCGCCGCACGACAGCCACAGCGCCTCCATCAGGTGGCGTTTCTTGCGGTTGCTGCGGCAGGTGGTCCAGACGTTCTCCACGCACTGAGCCAGAACCACCGGCGGACAGAAGGGAAGCTGCCGGAGGAAGACAGGTCGAGAGTGAAATAACTCTTCAGCATCAGAGGCTGACATTCACAGAGTGCAACAGTGATGATACAGAGTTACTATGCGGTTGCTAGGGTGCTGAAGTGGTTGTTCTGGATAGTTGCTAGGTAAAAAAGATCAGCTACGAGGTGAATCACAACATTACAAAAATTGATTTGAAGGAAAATTCTATTTAAAAGGATAGTTCAACCCAAAATGAAAATTTTGTTTTCATTTACATCACTGAACACAAAAGATATTTTGAAGAATGTTGGTATCCAAACAGTTGCCGGTAGCCATTGACTTCCATAGTATAGAAAAAAATAAAAATAAATAGGGAAAGAACTACAATCCCATGAAACATTGCAAACGACATAATCTAAATAAAAACAATGGACAAATATAAAACCAAACAAAAATGAATGAAATAAAAAAATAAAAAAAACAAAAAAATAAATATAAAACAATTGATTTAAAGACGTATTTTGAAATAATACATTTTACATTTACTGTAATATACACACATTTCGATAATAATGAAATATTAAAATAATACAATTTAAATATTTATATAAAAATTATATACATGTAATTTGTTTAATATAAATATAATATAAATTTTAAAAATTATTTAAACATTTTTTTGCATAAATTATATAAAAAATAAGTATATATATTGGTGGAGATTTCTCTGCAGAATCATGGGTAATGTAGTTTTTCACCAGGAATTCTGCTGTTAAATGTGATTATTTTTAAACAAGTTGAAATAATGCGGGTTGATTAGCCAGCTCGAACCTCACAGTAGGTCTGTCTTTAACGGTTTATGAGTTATTGTTAAAAACCAATTCCTCTATGGAGAAAATGAATGGGATTTTTAGTTCTGTAACCCGACTGTTGCCCTCAATGGGATCAGGATGAAGGGGCGGGGCATCGAACTCACCAGCTTCGTCTGATTGGCCGGCGTGTCTTTCTCTCGTACCTGTGGGCCGGATCGGTCTCTCTGCAGCATGATCAGCTGACCGGCCAAATTCAACAGGATACTCTCAGCCGAACAGGCCTGGCACACACAGACGCCTCATGAGTATGAATACATACATACGTGTGTGTGTGTGTGTGTGTGTGTGTGTGTGTGTGTGTGTGTTTACATGCTGCGGGGCTTTGAGCGTGATGCCGGTCTCTGTCCGTACTGACGTGAGGGTCACAGACACCACCAGACCAGGGTGAGGAATATAGCGGGACATGGAGACCTCCTGCAGCAGCTCCACACTGGCCGACGGGCTCGGACTGATGACACAACAATCAAGAAATGTTTATAACAAATACAAGAAACACCCATCCATCCAAACAACTGGGTTATATTGAAATAATAGAAATACATGCAATTATTCAGTCAGATAAACTCCACTCTTTCTACTGACTGACATCTTCCATTATTATGAAAAAGCTGTTTAGGAAAATCAAAGTTTCGAAAAACATGATTGATGCATTATTTCATTCAGAAAAGAAAAAAGAATGGTAATTTTCACTATTAAAAAATAGTAACAAAATAATTGTTTTTATAAATAAATTTAAAAAATTCAAAAATAACACACAATGAGACATTTGTAAATGTAATTTTTTATAATAATTAAAAAACAAACAAACAAATTATAATAAATCAACAAAAATGAACAAAAACACCTACATAAAGTATTATAAATATTTTTAATGAAAAAAAAAAAAAAAAAAAAAAAACACATACATATAAAGAGATGTCTGGAAATGCTCATTTTTATAATTAAAAATTAATAAAACAAAATAAAACAAAAACCAATAAATCAATAAAAATGAACAATAAATTAAAACAAAATAACACCTACATATACATTAAGAGTAATTTGAAAAATGCTCATTTGTATTCATTTTTGTAAATGAAAGAAAGAAAAAAAAAATGCGTACATATAGAGACATTTTTTAGTAAACAATATAAATAAATAAATACCATACATGGACATTTGGAAATGCTAAATTATACATCTGTATATTTCGTTGCAAGTGTGTAAAAAGCAAAAACACTACTGAAGAGTATATAATCTGTAAATATTTGTAAATCTAATAATTTGAAAAACAAATACACATTTAGTTTCAGGATATTAGCGTTTTTGCTTTGTACACACATGCAACAAGATCAGACATTAATTGAACCATTTAAATGTAGCACTAGTTTTGTGAACGTGAATGTTATGACATGGTTTAACAATAATTGTTGTGTTTTTATGCATATTACAAAATAAACTAGCACATTTAAAGACTGATTATGGATTCAATTATTGTTCCTCCATATATCTGAGTGTGTTTCACCTGTCGTGCCGTCTCTCAATGCTGTACAGGCAGATGGAGCAGTCGGCACGGAACAGAATCACCACGTTACGAAACACGTTCAGCAGCAGCGTGTCGGCGTGAAGTTTAGTGACGCTGGCAAACGCGTTATCCAGGTTAGACGAGCGCACGTATAACCTCAGCTACAAGCACACATCAAGAAAACACATCAATGTACAGTTCAATCAACACTGATAAATGACAGGAATATTTACTGAAGTGTTCTTGCCTCTTCCTGCCGGTCAATGAAATTGTAACAGGCAACAACGACAAAGTCGTTCCACCACGCGAGACCTCCCGTCACAGTCATATTCTGCTCCTGAAAACACACACACATAAATGTTAGAAAGCTTCCACCACAGGCTCTTTCATGAGTTGTTTTCCTTTCAAATGAAAAGACCTACCTGTGTGACGTTACCGAACAGTTTCCACTTCCTGGTATATAAGGAGTAATGTGCAATTCCACGGCGGCCAGCTACGGCCACACACTGACCAGACCAGTCTATAGCTGCGAACTACACACACACAAAGATTAAACGACTCGTTTCAGGAAAAACTGTTTTGTTTTTTTAACCAAATGGAATGTTTATTGAAATGCTCATTAACATGTCCGCCCATATTTGCATATCATCACATATTCATTATACAGCAGCTTCACCAGCACTGCTGATTGACGGAGTGAACTACACCAGTATATACAGTTATCTAATCAAAACGGGTCATTTACATATTCAAGTCTTAAAAGTACAGCAGCAGGAGTGTGAGTCAGAGGATGGAAAAATAGTTATCAGAAACTACAAAATAAGGCCAGAAACTAACATATGTAGACTTAAGGAATAATTCAGTGAATGGGTGCCATCAGAATGAGTCAAACAGCTGATAAAAACATCACAATAATCCACACCACTCCAGTCCATCAGTGAACATCTGGAGAAGACAAAAGCTGAAACAAATCCATCAAGTTGTTTTTAACTAAAATACGAGTCCATGATCCATAATAACGCTTCCTCCAGTGAAAAAGTGTTCTTATGTGAATCAGGAGAGAAATCTGCACAGATCAAGCAGTGTTTAAACAGCTCTAAACAAATATGTGGCTGGATTCTGATGTGAGAGACAACAGGAGATGGACTTTTTCACTGGAGGAAGCATTATTTATTACTCATATTTTGGCCGGAAGCACCGGTTTGAAGTTAAAAACGTCTTGATGGATTTGTTTCAGCTTTTGGTTTCTCAAGACATTAACTGATGGACTGGAGTGCTGTGGATTACTTGTGGATTAATGTGATGTTTTTATCAGCTGTTTGGACTCTCATTCTGACGGCACCCATTCACTGCAGAGCATCCATTGCTGAGACACTGATGCAATGCTACATTTCTCCAAATCTGATGAAGAAACAAACTCATCCTAATCTTGGATTGCCTGAGGGTGAGCACATTTCCACCACATTTTCATTTTTGGCTGAACTATTCCTTTAAGAGTTAAAAGACGGTTCTTACCCTGATGGGCCAGTTTGTCTCTAGATATGTGCTGTGAATCTGCAGAGAGAGGAAAATCGCATGTCAGACTTCAAAATGAACTAGACCCACTTTGTATTTTATTCAGTGAATGTGTTTGAGCTGGGAGCGTGTGATCATGTACCTGAACCACCTGCCAGTGCTTGTGGCCCAGTAAAGTGCTGAGACCCTGAGAGAGAGGGGTGGACGCTGACGGCCGGCGCAGTGGACTGCCACCACTGTCCCGCGACGGGCTCTTATCCGGCACACTGTGAGCCTGAGTCGGGTCTCCACAGGTCAGATACAGACGATCCTCCCCGTGGAGCAACACCTGCTCCTGATTACTCTGATCACACATGCATGTAAAACCTCGCTTACTGTCACTGTCAGACAATTCTGATTCTTCTTGATCTCTGACACACATCTGATCATGTTGCATGTGCATAAACAGCAAAAACACATACTGGATTCATTTTTTTGCATCAAAATGTGCTTCTTAAGAATGTGAAGCGTGTGAGTGTTCACGCGTGTGTTTCTCTCACCGTGCACGGGTTGACGGTCAGCGCGCTCTTAATGAACTGAAACTGCAGAATCCCGGCCTGCTGGAGTTTCTCGTCTCCTTCCGCTCCGTCGGGAACAGGAGTCACGTCCGTGCTGCCGATCACCCACAGATGGTATCCCTCCACACCCCAGCCCTAAAACACATTCACACGCACACACATTTATCCAAAGTGACTACATTGCATTCCCTGGGAATCGAACCCACGATCTTTGCATTGCTGACACCATAATTTAGTGTTCGATTGATATAGATTTTTTTAATGACCAATGTCGTTATCTTAGAGAGCAGGGTAGCCAATGGCGATATACAGTATATGTATAATATCATACTTTTAATATAGTAAAAAAAACATACATAAGTGCTTGCAATAAAATTTTATTTATTTTACATAATATTTATATATATTCATACAATAATTTGAAAATGAATAAATAAGGAAAAAATTAATTTGATAAAAAAAAGTGCAAAATAAACAAGTAAAATAAAAGTTCAGTGCACTGTCAAAATAAAAGTCCCGCTTCTGAGACGTCAGCCTAACAGAAAAACTTATTGGCTCAAGCAGATAATAAAAAAACAATAAAAAAAGGCAAATATCAGCCGATATATCGGCCTTGGCAACATATCAGTCAACCACTATCTAAACCACTTAACTAAAACAAAAATCATAGAAAAAAAAAACTAATTTCATTACTTGAAACAAAACAAAAATTTACTGAAATAAACCAAGTTTAAGTTTTTTTATATTTTAATTTCAACTAGTTCACAAGGCAACATTGAAAATCTAACTAAAAAAAAAAAGAAAAACAACATTGCAATATTAAAAAAAACTTTAGCTAAATAAACTAAAACTTAATAAAAATAGACATTTAAAATGACATATTGACTAAAACTTAAATTAAAATATAAATACAAAATCTATTTAAAATATAAAAAAAAAACTATAGTAGTACAGCAGTGATACTAAGATAACACTGATGCAGTACAATAAACACACAGAATCAAAACTGTTCAAGAAAGAAGTAGTGCTCATTAATAAGACCATGTTTGCGCACTCACCATAGAGCTGATCTTCAGAGGCTCTTTCTTAGTGCCGTCTGAGCGATAGCTGTATCAGGAAAACATCAAGAAAATACAGAAATCAAGCATCAATGTCAACACTCATCATTAGTGCCATCACTATCAGAGTGAACTTTCTGGATGATGGGTTTGACAAACGTATTGCTGACTCAGTAAATCATTGGCGTGAGTGTGTTTGTGCGACTCACGCAAAATCCTCCCCGAGTGTGCAGATGAGATGAGCTCCAAACACACTCCACAGAGACAGACCGCCACAGTCCCACGTCACCATGGCAACACTGCAGTCCGGAGACCAGCGGATCATCTTCACAGGCCCCGTTTTATTCCAGATATCTGGGACAGGAGCGCAGAGAGAACAACATGTAGATGCTAAAATGAGCCGAGAAAGAGTTTTAGATAGACTGAATGATAGAAAATGTTCTGGGAATTTGGTTTGTTTGTGTTGTTTTTCCCCCAATATCTTTATTTAAACAAAAACTTAGACTTATAAACCTTACACACACACACACACACACATATATATTAGGGGTTGCACCGACTAATCGACTTCAATGCTCTGCCATGACGCTTTAAGCTTGACGTCGACTAGTCGCTGGTCTTATAGAGGGCGCAAGAGGATATATATATATATAAAACATCAAATAAAAGTAAATTAAACATCTTTTACGTAAATACAACTGGAAATAAAACTAAAAATGAAACAAACTGAAATAAACAGATGAAAAAAAATGTATAAAAATAAATAAAAAAATCAAATACAAAAACTAATAAAAGTGACAGAAGCACATAATTTAAAAAAAATTAAAATATATAAATAAAAGCTAATTCAAAATATTAATAAATACTATAATTAGGGATGCACCGATGCCACTTTTTCCAGTACTCGCCCGATACCGATACTTTTATTTTTGGTACTTGCCGATACTGAGTACCGATACCAATATTTTTATTGCATTTGTACATTTTTTAAATATTGGGTACAGAAACCAAAAGAGTATGTATAATGTTAGTTGGTTAACTTAATTTATCAAACAGATACAGTCAAACCAAATATATATATATATAAAACATCAAATAAAAGTAAATTAAACATCTTTTACGTAAATACAACTGGAAATAAAACTAAAAATGAAACAAACTGAAATAAACAGATGAAAAAAAATGTATAAAAATAAATAAAAAAATCAAATACAAAAACTAATAAAAGTGACAGAAGCACATAATTTAAAAAAAATTAAAATATATAAATAAAAGCTAATTCAAAATATTAATAAATACTATAATTAGGGATGCACCGATGCCACTTTTTCCAGTACTCGCCCGATACCGATACTTTTATTTTTGGTACTTGCCGATACTGAGTACCGATACCAATATTTTGCATACATTGCATACATATACTTCGTAGACATCCTTAATCTCTAATAACGCCATTCTGCTGTCTGTTTGTCTGTGTTTCATTGTCTGAATATGGCGCTTATCACATGCTGTGTGGTATCGGCGTTTGGTATCGGGGCATTTTAACGAGTACGAGTACAGGAGCTCAGTATCGGGCCCGATACCGATACCAGTATCGGTGCATCCCTAACTATAATATTATATAAATAATACCAAAATAACACTGCGCTGAACATTCATCAACCAAGTGTAAAACAAAAGTTACAAAATTTATTTGTTGCAAATTATTCTCTCTTTAATTTTTTATATTTAATAATTTAATGCCATACCAGCTACCATGGATATTTTCATAGCAAGTAAAATATGAAAAGAAAAAAATATATATAAATTATACATTTTAAAGAATTTAAAAATTCTTATTGAAAAAAAAAATAAAAAAAGTCCTAAAAGAAATAAAACAATCTGGAATTTAGTTCAAAAGCCTAAAATATGGCAGGAAAACAGCTTCAGCCTTAGACATCATATCTAGTAATCATTCAAAGTGTCTGATAGAAGTTAAAGAGAAAAATAAGACATTTATTATCAATTTAAACATCACTAGCTGGAATCTGATTGGATACTTTGTTTCCCGCTGAACTGATATAAACCACTGTAACAAAGCTGTAAATAAGAGACACTTCTGAGAGGAACTAGTCACTGACTTGACTGCCATCAGATGTGTCAGATGTTCATGTTCCCACCGCAGCCATCAGGGGGTGTCAGAGGATCATAGCCAAACTCTCGATCAGAGAGGTTAAACATACTAACAGTAAATAAAAGGATCATCCTGTGTGTGTGACAAAGGCTACGGCTTTTGTGGATTGTGGGTTGGACTGATGCCACTTCCTGTGGTTCGACTGCTGTTTAATGTTAAACATCGTCAGTGGTGAGTGTGTGTCTCACCTGGGTAGTGTTTCGGGGTTAACTCCAGTTTATGAGAGAGCTGCATGGATCCTGTGGAGCTGTCAATCATGTACACCAACACTGACCCGCTGCGACACACACACAACATGAACTCAGCACAGACACAATACACAGGGTTCACACACTTATTATTACTACAGATATACTACCCTTCAAAAGGTTTTTTTGTTACAAATGTAATAGTTTTATTCAGCAAGGATGCATTAAATTGATCAAAAGTCACAGTAAAGTCATTTATAATGTTGCAAAAGATTTCTATTTCAAATAAATGCTGTTTTTTTTTTTACTTTCTATTCATCAAAGAATTATAAAAAATAAAATGCATCACAGTTTCCACAAAAGAATTTGGCAGCACAACTGTTTTCAACACTGATAATAATCAGAAATGTTTCTTGAGCAGCAAATCAGCATATTAGAATGATTTCTGAAGATCATGTGACACTGAAGACTGGAGTAATGATGCTGAAAATACAGCTTTGATCACAGAAATAAATTACAGTTTACATTATATTAGAACAGAAGAGACTACCTTCAAAAACATTACATAATCTTAATTACCCAAATTTGAACGGTAGTGTATTTTCATTCATTTTGAAGGTTGTATTAATTTTCATGCCTTTTCACAACTTTCAAATCCGGACATTATAAAATCCTATAAAATCCTCAAAAAGCAACACAAATATGTGACCCTGGAGCACAAAAGCAGTCTTAAGTCGCTGGGGTATATTTGTCGCTAAAAATACATTGTATGGGTCAAAATTATTGATTTTTCTTTTTTGCCAAAAATCATTAAATATATCAAAACAAAATGTTTGATTAGTAATATGCATTGCTAAGAACTTCATTAGGACAACTTTAAAGGTGATTTTCTCAATATTTTTATTTTTTTGCACCCTCAGATTCCAGATTTTCAAATAGTTGTGTCTCAGCCAAATATTGTTCTATCCTAACAAATACATCAATGGAAAGATTATTTATTCAGCTTTCAGATGATGTTTAAATCTCAATTTCGAAAAATGTACCCATATGACTGGTTTTGTGGTCCAGGGTCACATATAAAAAGATGCACAAGTCTGATATAAATACAGCACTGTAAAATGACACGCACACACACACACCTTGCACATCCGAAGGCCATGAGTCTGTATTTGTTGTTGACGGCGACACACGTGCCATCAGAGACATCTGCGGCCCAAACGCCCTGCAGCTGCTGCACAGAACACACATGCATGCAACATTACCACATCGAGATCAGATGCTTTCTGAACTCATAATAGCAAACTAAACGAATGGTGCATTCTCAGTGCTGCCACAAAGAGACGCTACAGCAGACATGAGCACTAACTCTTCTTCTGTGGTCACAAATGTGAATAATAATTGTTTAATTAATAATAAACTCTCTCTTACATCTGTGGCGAGTCTGTTTGCGGTTGGTGTTATGAATCCCAGTCGCCCGTCATCAAACACGACAGCAAACCCGTCCAGCGTAGTGCAATACTCCATATCCCGAATGTGAACACCGTCCAGATCCAAACACGGCCCTCCTAGAGCAAACACAAAGACACGTCACGTCATGCGACAGACAAACACACGGGAACAGACACGTGTTCATGGGTCAGGAGCGTCTGGAGAGTGTTTGTGAAGCAGGTCTGACCTCTGGAGGACTGCAGGTCGAGGGAGAACGGGATGGTGCACAGGTTGACCGCTCTCCGGCCATTACTCACGCTGTCCCAGTGCAGCATGTGCAGATAACCATCTGCTGTCGCCACTAACAGATCCTCCTGCAGCGTCTGCAGACTGACACACACACACACTTCAAATCAATCCACTAGATTACCAACACATTTCACATTTACAAAAAATATATATTTCATGTAATAGTGCATTAATAAAAACTCTAAAATTAGACAAATTAGGAATGATGAGGTGATGAAACATGACACAGATGAAAACTCTTATTTTTGAGCTGCTTTCTTTATCTAGATTCCAGCTCTGCTCACTCTGGACCAGGTTTATTATTAACTAAAACTATTACAAATTATTTTGTTCTCTGAAATAAAACTGAAATAAGATAAAATCTAAATATTAAATAAAAAACTAAATGAAAATTAGAAATGTTACACTGGCAATAAACTGAAATAAGTTTAAGTTTAGCATTAAAATTACTAACTGAAAAGTCAACAAAAAATAAAAATAAAAATAAAACTGAATAAATATAAAATATAAAAAATAAAAGCTAATTTAAAAGATTAATAAATACTATAATAGCATAGACAGACATAAAATACTGAAATAAACATTTTATATATATATATATTATTCATTAAAAGCTTTAAACAGTATATGTTACTAAAATGATACTAAAATGACACTGGACACACACATTATTATTACACAGATATATAGACGTGTGTGTGCGTTTTTGTGACATATGAGGACACACATTTGTATAATGACATGGGTATGACAGGTATTACAAGGAAAAGGTGACTTATGAGGTCATTGCCCATGTCCCCATTTTTCAAAACGCTTATAAATCATACAGAGTGAGTTTTTTTGAGAAAGTAAAAATGCACAGTTTCCTGTAAGGGGTAGGTTTAGGGGTAGGGTTGGTCACAAAAACAAACCTGAGTGTGTGCGCGCGTGTGTGTGTGTGTGTGTGTGTGTGTGTCAAAACAAAATCTTCAGATTGTGCTTCAGATTTCTCTGGGACTGAGACTGATCATGTGACACTTTGTACAGATGGTCAAATGCTTTTTTGCCACTGAAGCTCAAAATGCTCTTTGGATCATTCCAAGTGTGTGTGTGTGTGTGTGTGTGTGTGTGTGTGTGTGTGTGTGTGTGTGTGTGTGTTTTTATGTGCGA